GAACGATACTTTGTGGACGCTCCAGAATTTGGCAATCACGTTTTCAGTCATTGAATCCCTGCCTGGATAGCGTACTCTGTTGGTGGGCGAATGTATGCTGATAGTAGACAGGGGATCAGAGCCGACACAACCCAGACAAAGACCCGATTAAGAAAATTGACATTCTTTACAGCTGCGTTCGACACGTTGGTGCATTTGAGTGAGCAGCTTCAGTTTTCTTGAATGATGCCCAGGTCCTTATCACTTGAGGCGTGTGGCAGTTCTTCATTTCCGAGGAAATACAAAAATCGCCCTCTGTGTCGTAGAGATAGAACTTGACGTTTTGGCACATTGAATTCACTGTCGTTCAGAAACGATCGGAGATGAGCTGCTTTCAACGTTTTCTGGAGTGCTAGCAAGCCCACTGTTTGCGTTACTGTGTTCCAGATTTAGGCGTCATCTGCAAACAGTAATGATTTTCTCCCCAAGAGCCTTCGGTAGATCCTTTATGAATGTTAGGAAAAGTCGCGGGTCAAGCACAGATTCTTGTGGAATCCAACGGGTAACGTCCATAGGACTGGAAAGCAAATCAGAAACACGAACCGATACGGTCTTGTCGGAGAAATGCTTCGATCCAACCAAACACGAGGCCCCAAATACTGTGATCATAGAGTTTCCGCAGTAGAATGTTGTGGTTCACCCGATCAAACACTTTTGAGAAGTCTAGATAAATAACGTCTACCGCGTAGCCGTCATCAACTGCTTTTGTCCATTCCTCTTGAGCAGCACCACAAAACCTGTCAGGACCGAGTCCGTTTCTGTCACTCCTATTCAGGAGAAATGATTATGATAATTTATAAATGAGATTCTCCAACAGAAAATACAATTGGAATATCTGTGCTGTACACCAAATGTCATAGAAATCTGTTTACAAAACGTTTTTATTATCGGTTAACAAACGTTACACAAAAACCAGTTAGTACTTAGTAAGGAGTTCGAAGAAAATTCCTCGACAGATTGGCTATTCAATTGCTCGACCACAATGATTGCAAGATTTGTAAATGGGATTTTTCGTCCGGCAATACGAAAAAGGATATGCAATAGGTTATGAATTCGCTTCGGTCCAACTGAGCATCATCAAGGGATGAGTTGTTATCAATCCGACGGAGGATAGAACCCCGAACTATTCCAGAGAGATGGAAAGCATATTGTCGAATACAAACAACGCATAACTGCATGGCTAGTCCTCAATTTTTTTTAAATTGTACGGTTCCAAAAGGAAATCCGATGTTCTTCCAAGGGAGTACGTATATCGCCACGGTTGCAAGATTTGAATCGAAGGCTACACGAATGTCTCAGAAAACAATGATCACTGGTTTATGGTAAACATGACGGTGCTCAATCAGCTGTCAGAGGGTGAAGATGTGATCGATGCAGCCACGACCGGCACGAAACTGTGGTAATTCAGGCCCACGAGATGACGCCTACCTTGGAGCGGCGCGTCACAGTTTTCGGACACATGCGATCAATCAAATTTGAATGCTGACGTCAATGACACGCGTACGGCTACCGACTACACGCCATAGGTAGATCGTGCCAGCCAATCCAAGACAGTGGAGACAGAAGCAAGATTATGCAAGCAGTATTGCAATCCGATTGGTGGAAGCCTAGATAACCAATAATCTTCTTTTNTACATATTATTTAATTGCCCTCATTTATTTCAATAAACGAACTACGTACTAATATTCCCGTGGCCTTTTCCTCACGTCTTGTTCATCTGGGATATTGCGAGCTCGTGTCATTGCGTTCCAGTGCTTCCGTAATCCAGTCCGTGACAGCTAATCCTTGATNCTTGCGTACTACTACGACTACTACAATCATTACAGAAAACCAGCCTTTTCATGGGCATTCTCCTTACGCATTTTGTACAATCTACGAAGAATGTTGGACACTAGCAGCTTCAACGCTATCGGGATCAGGCTTATACCCCTATGATTGGTGCAGTCATTGCGCGGGCCCTTTTTGAAGATGGAAACAACAATGGATTGCCCCCACGAGGAGGGGACTTTGCTCAGTATTGCACACTTTAGATAACAGAACTTGTAGTTCTTTCACAAGCTTTGTTCTACCATCTTTCAATAGAGCAGGAGAAAGACCATCCGAGCCTGGCGCTTTGTGACGTCCCAAGGCTTGGATTTTGTAATGATTTCGGCCTCAGGGAGTGGGTCTGTTGATACAGACCATGGGACGTGTGTCGGAATAGCTGTTGGAGAAGCTTACACTGGTGGCCATTCAAACTGTGTTGTAAGGTGTTGTTTGAATTGATCGTTTGTTCTACTGCATCAATTGTGTTTTTATGATTGGTCCGTATAAGACTTCAATTTTGCCCGCCGAACCATCTGATTGATCCATGTTTATATATAAACTCCTGTGATTCCCTCTCCAAATGTGATTCGTGTCCAGTGGACTAGAGAAAATATATCGAGAGCATTTCCTGAACAACCGACTTTTGGCATAAACTATGCTTTGAAGTGCTCCGCTCAGCGTTCAAGACGTCGCTGTTGCTTGTGAATAAGCCAACCATCAGCTTCGCAGATCGTTTCGCTCACACCCAAAAGTTTTCCTGAAAATCTAGGAAGCATTGAACAGCTGATTGCATCTTGTTATTTCCGTGAGCAATGCGAATTTGTCGATTCAGCTGAGAATCAAGCCTGGAAACTCACTGGTACTATATATCCGCAAGACCATTACTGGGCTGAGAAGAATCATTGGTTGAAAGATCACCATGAATGGGAACGAAAAAATGGAAAAAAACTGAAAAGCCCTGTTTTCTCGAATGCATTTTGTTCTCATTTTCCCTATCTTTACCCGACCAATGTCTTTCCATTTTCATTATTATCGAGTTAGTGCTATGCTCATTTATTTTCTACACAGTTCGTTGAAACTACTATCGATTGGCTGCATCTATAGTTGTTTTTAATTTAACGCATCCTCACCAAAAATGCAACTGTGCGTACCGATCTGTTTTGAAACCGCGTTCTTGATCCATTTTTGGTAATGTGACATTTTGAAAACTCAAGATCTCAATAAACATTTCGAATGATTGTTCAACGCTAATCTCGGTTGAAGTCTGGGGGATTGGAGCGGAGACCCACACCTTTCCGGTTGTGGCACTGGTCACCGACTCGATTGGTATCGATGTGTCCTGGGCACCTTGGATGTTTGACCCCGTCCAAAGTGCGTATGATCCGATGAACTGGACACCGGC